CTCCTGAGTCAGAAGAATATTATCCCCTATATCCCTGCCTGGAGTGAAACCACTTTGAGATTTTGAAATGATATCAGGCAGAACTCTATTAAGCCTAGCAGAGAGAACCTTAGTGATTATTTTGTTGACCACATTACACAAACTAATGGGTCTGAAATCTTTCCACTCTATCGCCTTTGCTTTTTTCGATATAAGGGTAATAGAAGTAGATGTTATTCCTGTGGGAATATCCTTGCCATTAAAGAAATCCATAACAGCCTCTAAAAGATCCTGTTTGATGATATCCCAGCTATGTTGGAAGAATAAGCTAGAAAAACCATCTGGGCCAGCCGCACTATCTTTGTTGATGCTAAAGACAGCCTCTTTGATTTCATCAATATCTGGTGCCCTATTCAACATATCATTGTCATTTAGGGTCACCAACCTAGGAATATTTTCCAGAATGTTGTCTCCTCATTCAGTAGCTTCACTGGTTAAAATTTTCTCAAAATATTCCACAGCAGATTGTTGTATTTCCCTTGGCTCCTTTAACTCAACGCCATTACTGGATATCAAGTCAATAGTATTTTTCGTCCATTTTTTCCTGACCCAAGCATGAAAGAATTTTGAATTTTTATCCCCTTCATTCAACCATTTAATCCCTGCCTTCTGCTTCCAGTATGCTTCCTCCATAGAAAGCAATCTGTTAAGTCTAGCATAGGACTCATTAACTTCCAGCCTCTCATTAGGGGATTTGGATCTATCATATATGATTTCTTTCATGAGCGTTTCTTCTTCAGCCTTAGCAACATCAACGAAAATATTACCAATAGTATCTTTATTCCACTTTTTAAGCGTCTTCTTAAGTCTTTTCAATTTGAAATAGAAACCAAATAGCCCTCTAGAATAAGGACACAGTGGAGCCTCCCAACATTTTCTAATAGTATCCAGTAAATCATCATTTTGACACCACATGGCTTGAAATCTAAAGGATGTCTTTATCCTAACTTGTTGAGTCTTGCATTTCATCAAGAAAGGACAGTGGTCTGAAGTGTCCCTATTTAACATCTCAGCCTCAAATCCAGTATACTCATTCATCCACTGTGCATTTACCAAAATTCTATCCAATTTTTCCCATATCCTACCATTAGTCCAAGTATAATTGCTACCCCTAATGATATGCTCATCCACACCACAACTGATAAGCATAATGCTAAAATCCTCAATAGATTTTCTGTTAGGTGAATTACCTCCTTCCTTCTCTCCTCTATAAAGTATCGAGTTAAAATCCCCTCCAATAAGCCCAGGAGAGTCCATACTCTCAGAAAATGCTGTAAGCTCATTCCAAAGTATTCTCCTAAGAGAAATCGAGCATTTAGCATAAACCGCAGTTATGTAAATATCCTTGTTCTGCCTTTTAACCTTGATAGTAATATGATGTTCCTTATCTTCAATAACATGGCCATCTACATCACTCATCAAAAATCCCCAAATTTTACCATTCACATTTGCATAGCAATTATCAAATCCCAATTTTTTGCAAAATTCTTGAACTTGTCCTTTATCAACAATAGGTTCTAAAATGAGCAAGATAGTAATATGATTAGTATGAATTAGATTTCTAAGTCTCTTCAAAGAATTAGCAATACCTCTTAAATTCCAAATAAGTATATTGTACTGCATAGTTAGCGCTTTGATGGTCTCCCCCTTTTCTTCTTATTGCTCTTGGATTTCTTATAACTTCCCTTACATTCTTTATCATCTGTACCACTGTGGCTTTCAACTGAGAGTGTATCATCCTCCACTTCTTCTTCTTCCACCTCCCTTTGTAAAGGATCAAATGAATTTTGTTTTCTCAGTTTAGTGCAGCTGGGAACAAATATAATCTTGTTGTTACTCTCCTCATCTAGATCCGTATAATTGAGATCTAGGTTGCTCTTTTTACTTTGGTTATTATCCACCTCCATTGGGAATTCTCTGATGATCTCCACCCCAATCTGAACCTCCTCTTCACATTTGTTTAGGCAATCAAACAAACCTAATTCTACCTGCTCAATCTGGTTTTTATTATCTATGCTGAGTTCAGCTTCATTCTGGGTCTCTTCTGTACCCTTCTTTTCCTCATTAACGACTTTCTCATTGGCTAATTCCTCAAAAATGATTTCTCCTTCTTCACAGTTATAAAGCTTAGAGCATTCACCTTCCAGCAATACAGATTTCTCAAAATCTTTCCTCCCTTTTTTTATTTCAATCCATTCTTCCTTCCCCTTCACCTTGTTCTGTACTTCTCTATATACATCTTCATGTTGTTTATCAGTAGCATTGATTCCTGTCTTTTTTTCCAATAACATCTGCCAATATCATGCCCCACATATTTGCAAAAAGAACAGTATGTAGGAAGCTCTTCATAAACAATTTTCTGCCAGACAGCAAACATCTCATTCCCGATTCTAATTCTTTCCAATTTCGGAGCAGTAACATTCATTTCCACACAAATTCTAGCCAGATTAGTTCTAGTTTTCTTGGTAGTTTGCTCATCAATTTTCAACGGTGTTCCCAGTACAGAGGCTATAGAATACAATATCGCTTTATCATAAAAAACCAAAGGCAAGTTTGGTAACGCAATCCAAATAGGGGCTATGGACGATTCCTTCTGAGGATCAAAATCAAAAGTATACTTCAATATTCTCATGGATGTGCCCAGAATATAACAAACCGGTTTTGAGAAAATACGACAATAATCT